TTTAATTTCTTCTGTGAATTTTAAGTTCAATTCCTGGTGTAAAGGGATATTCCTCAGGGCCTGCTACTTTTTCTCAACCAAGGCATCCAGCTGGCCTCTACAGGAACTTAATTTCCACCTATTTTAAGTCATAATAACATCATCCACCTGCATCAGTTAGGGGTTGAATTCACCTCCAAATAAAATAAACCTGAAATGTTGGTATTTAAACAAGACACAGGGTTGCTTTTCTCCCACTGCAATAAAGAGCCTGGAGGAGCAGGCATCTACCTACCTCCTACTAGCTTAACATCTCGTGTGTTTGCATGGCTACTGCCTTTGTTGTAAACTTTCATGTGGCCTGAAATATTTACTTCCTCATCACCTACTCTTGAGTATCTTATCACTTCATATAACTATCAATGATTCCTAGAAAACTAAACCTAATACTGCCACTCCCTTTAAGAAAAACTCTCCTGGTGTTTCTCTATTATTTTAGGATAAACACAGAGTCCTGCATGTGTGGTGTGGCTCAGCGGTTGAACATCAACCAGAAACCAGGAGTTCATGGTTCAATTCCTGCTCAGGGCACATGCCTAGGTTTCAGGCTTAATCTCCAGTGTGGGTTGTGCAGGAGACAGCTGATCAATGATTCACTCTTGTCCTTAATATTTCTTTCTCTCTCTCTCCCTTTTTCTCTTCTTCTCTGAAATCAATATCTATACTAATAAAAGGGTAATATGCAAATTGGTCACGATGACAACTGAAGAGCAGGTTGTGTGGGGCGACAAGTGTTAGCAAGAGACGACCAAATGACTGACCAGCAGGCTGTGTGGGGCAACCAGGTTGGCGGACATGCACAACCAGCCCCGCCCCCATGCGGGTTCAGCCCCGCCCCCATGCGGGTTCAGCTGCTCCTTGCACCTGCCTCCAGAGACCCCCAGACCCCGCAGACCCCCAGCTGCTCAGGGCCGGCCCAAGGGAGGGGGGGGGGGGAGGAAGAGGGGGAGCAGTGAGAGATGATCTGACTGGCATGGAGGCAGATAGGGGCGATCAGGCAGGCAGGCAAGTAAGCAGTTAGGAGTCCCAGATTGTGAGAGAGATGTCCAACTTCCGGTTTCAGCCCAGCCGGAAGTCAGACATCCTCCAAGGGGTCCTGGATTGGAGAGGATCCAGGCTGGGCTAAGGGGACCCCTCTCTCCCATGCACAAATTTCATGCACCAGGCCTCCATTGCAATATCTTCCCTGCACACATCCTGAACATCTCAGTGCTCGCTAGCAAGATGTGGTCCTTGGTACCTTCGTAGCTCTAGGTGTTTTGATATAATAATCCACCTCTTCCTTTATCATTGCAAAACAGTTGAAAAATAGAAATTGGAGTCAGCTACTGATTAAAATAACTTTTTATTTATTTTAGTTTTTCTAGGAAAGCTGGATTGGCAGCACAGCCAGAATTAGAATGGTTATTTCCCTACCCCAACCCAAGTTTAGACACTGAGACTTTCATGAGGAGAAAGTCAGTCTACAAAGCAAACCGTTGACATTGGTTCAGCTGAACAGAACTTAAAATTCTAACATTAGTATCTTAGATCCTAAAGAAGTCAGCATTTCAGAGCTGGTGTAAAATTCACAGCATCCGTGTTCTTGAGAAAGTATTCTCTACCAAGCTTAGTGCTCAGCTTCCATCCTTAGGTTTGGGCCCACGGGTCCATCACAGGGTCCAAGATGGTTACTGGGGCTCCAGCCATTTCATCGACATTCTAGGCAGCAGGACAGAGGGTTGTAAGGAACCTTCCAGAAGTTCCATTTAGATATCATTGGTCAGACTGTTCTACATCATTAGCCCAACTTCAAGAAAGGCTAGAAAAGAGAGTCTTATCCTGAACAGTAATATGTCCATCCCAAAACTGGTATTCCACTACTAAGAATAAAGAGGGGGAAATTGGTGTTTTGATGGCCATGGTCAGCTAAAGGCATGGTCTTGGTCTCCCTGCCCCTCTGAGCTCAGAGAGCCCAAGAGTGGGACCCAGTTTTGTTATGTCCCAGAGCAGCAGCCACGGGAGAGAATGAATCCAAAGAAAGCCAAGAGGGGTCAAGTGCACACACCCAGTGCTCTTTCCCAAAACTCGACAATTAGGTAACCCCAGCTTCTCCTGTGGAGAGGAGTAAGTACAGGTAGTAAGAGGGATGTTCTTGGAATATTCCTGGAATGTGGTCCCTCATTGGGAGTGAAGCAGAAACTCGCTGATGGAACGTGAGGGCAGGGAGCAGGGGTTACCCTAACTGTGCCTTCCCCAGCCTCTCCTGCTGGGCTTATGCTGCCTTACCCAGTAACCCTACTGTAGAGGCCAACTCATCCTCCAACTCCAAGCTCAATGTCACCTTTCTATGGCACCATTCATGACCCGCATTCCCACCCCCACACAGGTCTCGTTCTTGCAATCAGCATGTTCAGACTAAAAAGATAACACTTCTGTGATATTAGAATGCTTATTTCTATGACTGTGTCTCCTTCTCTCACTCCCAGGCATATTCTAAGCGATTCAAGTTTTATCCCCTTTTCATGCCCTGCTTTGCTGTAGTGCACTAATGATTGAATAGTGCTTATGAAGACAAGGCATTCTTGGTGTAGATGCATGTGCCCACCAGGGTGCCGTTTGTCTAGTGACGATGCTGCACACCTGCTCATCCTACCCTCTCTGGTTTGGCTCAGTGGATAGAGCATCGACCTGCAAACTGAAGGGTCCCAGGTTCAATTCCAGTTGAGGGCACATGCCTGGGTTGTTGGCTCGATCCCCAGTAAGGGGGGGGGGGGGGGGAGTGCAAGAGGCAGCCAATCAATGATTCCCTCTCGTTATTGATGTTTCTATCTCTCTCTCCTTCCCACTCCTTTCCTCTCTGAAGTCAATAAAAATTTTTAATAAAAATAAGAATTAATTTGCCCAGTTTAAAACCTGTTGGAATTTCCCTGGGGAACAGAATGGTCCAGTGGGTTAATGCTGATCAGAAAGGGGTAACCCCGGAAGGACACCACCATACAGCATTCGGCTCTCAGCAGGTCTGAGCTGGTTGAGGCAAGTACAGGCTTCTCCTAACACTTTTTGTATCATAAAAAGTGAGATTTCCTGTACCTGGTGGCTGGTTGGTTGGTCGGAAGGAAGAAACAGATTGCCTGTCAGAGGAGCTGGGAGAGATGCAGTGTTGCTGGTCACTCCCCTTCTGAAGGGTGAATGGCACTGTAGTGGCTAAAGCACAAGCTATAGAATCCGACCTGCAATGAGCTCCTGCTCTCCCACTGAACCCCCAGAGGAATTTTGGAAAACTGCAGAACCCATCACACATTTACAGCTGCCATCTACAGGTTTTCCTCCCCTAATTAAATACCTTCTGCAAGGACTAGAATTTCCCTGTTTATTGTAAATAGGCTATAATACATTTGATCAAAGTACAGAGCCCAAAATTTAGCTCAGATTCCAAGACAATGTCCATTATATAAGCTAGTTGCCAAAAATATCCCTCACTGCCTCACCCATTGAGCTAATCAGACTTAACTCCTCATCAGAGAGGAAGTCAATCTTCATTTGCAATTCACATGAACATACGGAAGTACCCAACGCCCCACACTTCTGACCTCTGACTCTGAGATGCACAGAGGCCAGTGGACAGGAGAGGGTCAAAGCCTGGCCCTGAGTCTGTTTAGTTGACATAAAGCCCTGCTCCTCAGAGACCTTCCCTCAGGAGTGAGCCTTTCTCTTTTTTAAATGTTTTAATTTATTTCAGAGAAGAAGGGAGAGGGAAAAAGAGAAACATCGATGATAATAGAGAATCATTGATTCGCTGCCTCCTGCACACCCCCTACTGGGAATCAAGCTTGCAACTCAGGCATGGGCCATAACTGGGAGTTGGAACCGTGACCTCCTGGTTCATAGGTCCATGCTCAACCATTGAGCAACACCAGCAGGGTGCAGGAGCAAGTCTTTCCCAATTATCTCTAGATTATTTGTATCCCAGGCCCAAACTCCTTCAAAGGCTTGAGGTGGATGGTAAATGTCATTCCTTTGTAAAGAGGCAGGAAACAACTGTGAGGGGGGAGGGAGAGGAGAGCTGGGAGACCTCAGACTCCTGGTGCTTTCTCAGCCAAATCGGTTTTGGGGATACGTGTACGGGCAACGTGATGATCTGAGAGCTGGCTCTCCCAAGAAATTATGCAAATTGTCCTAGATACTTGAACCACTGTTCTGAGTCTTTAGTATCCTCATATGTAAAATGCAGTAGTACCTACTTTGAAAGACATTTCAGAAGAATACATAAAGGCATCTATACAAAGAAAGCCCGTAATGACGTTCTGGGTGCAGAATGAGTACCCACTTTGTGCTCGCTGTTGTTATGGTGGTTGTTCTTCTTCTTCGACCCCGCTGCTTGCTAACAGGGACATTTCTCATTGGATTAAGTAATCCTCGGGCCCATCCCTAACATTTGTGCCCACAGCCCATATATCCAAGCTCTGTCCACACACCTGCAACTAGCAGCTCCTTTGGCCACTTTTGAGTCTAGAACCTACATCTGGTGGCACATTTCACTCTCAGAAGGTTGCACTTGGGTAAGAAGCCCTCACATAGCTCGAAGGTTGTCTGGGCAGGAAATTCAGGATTCTGACTTTCTGGAACTTGCTCTGCAAGGGGTTGGATATAAGTCTGCTGGGCATATGTCCCTGGCCCAATAGATTCTTGCCCATAGAGTAAGTCAGGAGCTACATAAAGCACAAGCCCAGCGCAGCGACCCCTCTTGCATGAATCTAAAGCCCTTACCTCATGGATGTTGTTATAAATCAATTGGCTCATGTGTGTGGATGTGTTTTAAATGTAAGACTTCAGCGTTATCTTGATGGCCTTTATGATCCCAAAGTCCGTTAAAGTCAACCCCCTGGAACAAACGAATGGAAACCACAAAGACCAGTTGGTAACCAGACCACGCGGAAGGTGCTCAGGGCCGGAAGCGAACACCTTGTCTTTGGTTTCAGGCTCCGGCTTCCAGGCCTCGGGATACAACTTCAACACCTATGACTGGAGGAGCGCGAAGCAGCGAGGGAGCCTGTCCCCGGTCACCAAGCCTCGGAGCCAGACTTACCCAGACGTGGGGCTGAGTAACGAAGACTGGGACCGCTCCACGGTCAGCGGGTAAGGCTCATCCACCGTGGCCCTGTCCCGGCTGCTTTGTGTTGGGCGGGGTGTGGGGGGGGAGGGGGGGGAAGGTCTGAACGTCTCTACGTCCATTGGCACATGTTTGCAGCATTGGCTTCCGGAAGCTGCTAGAATGGCCGTGCTGGCCTCGTGGCAGGATTCTAACACTTGTGTCTGCCCAGTGGAAGCCGGCCACCACCGCACAGCAGGGCAAGTGCTGTGTCCCCTAAAGAAAACAGCAGCACGAGGGGGAAATCCACTTCTAAAAACCGTGGCCTCACTCTGTGACGTAATGTAAATATCTGTGTTTTCCGATGTCTCCACTCACAGGTTGAGAATCGCTAGCAGGGTCGTCTAAGACGATTGGAAAACACAGATATTGATATTACTATTCATAACAGTAGCAAAATTACAGTTATAAAGTAGCAACGAAAATAGTTTTATGGTTGGGGGTCACCACAACATGAGGAACTGTATTAAAGGGTCTCAGCATCAGAAAGGTTGAGAACCACTGATTTAAAAGGTACTTTCACATCAATTTTTATTTTTTATTTTTTTTATTTTTTTTTTTTTAGGAGAGAGCAAAGTAATTTTATTTATTTATTTATTTATTTATTTACATATTTTATTGATTTTTTTTTTACCCCCTTCTCTCCCTCCCACACATCCCCTCCCTCCCCAGAGTTTTATGTCCATTGGTTGTACTTATATGCATGTATATAAGTCCTTCGGTTGATCTATTATCTCCCCCAGATCTCCCTCCCCTCCCCACTGTAATTTGACATCATGCTGAGTGAAATAAGCCAATCAATGAAAGAGAAATACCTCATGACCTCACTCATTGGTGGACGATAAAGCTCTTTATAAACTGATGAACCAAGAGACAGAGATAGAGAAAGTAAAGCAACAGGCAGACTGTCAAATTTTTATTTTTTAAAAACATACACCTAGGGCCCCATATTTTTTGCTAAGACATATTTTAGCACTGTGTCCCTTACCAAAATACTTGAAGGAAATTTATAAAAAATGATAGCACTTACTCGATCTGTACCAGTGATTTTCAACCCTTTGCATCTTGTGGCACACATCAATTAATTACTAACATTCCTTGGCACACCAAAACATATATTTTTGCCGATCAGACAAAAAAAAAAAGGGTGTCATTTTGATTTTAGTCACACCAGATGGCTATGGTTGTGTTGGCTGTTGAAATTTGTCAATCTAAGGAAAAAGAGGTCAGTGCCCCTGACTAAATAGGGTTAAGAATTCTTGCAGCAGACTGGTTGAAAATCAGTGACCTACCCTGTGTTTCCCATAGGGTGGGAAACCATTTTCTCTCTTAGAGAAAAGTCTGGCTTCTTCCCCTGCAGCATCTTAGCTGAAAGATATTCCTGCACAAGCGCCACGTTAATGCAACTCTTGGGGCAGTGGCGGCGAGCACGCTGAAGTTCAGTGAGCCAGACCAGGGAGGACCAGGGAGGACCAGGGAGGGGCCTTCTTTCCTTCTAGCCTTTCCTAAGGGCCCTCACGCCCAGCCAGCTTTCTTTGGAAGCTGCAGTTAGAAGAAAGCCAACCCCAAAATGCATCTGGGTTTTTTGCGTGTGTGAGATGAAGGAGTGAGATTCTGGATACAGGGGGGGGAAAAAAATTAGCAGCATCGTCATTGTAACCAAGGCTGTGTCTTTGGTGACAGTTTCACGGGGGCTCCGGACGGCGCGGAGGCGGAGCAGGAGGAAAACTTCTGGTCCCAGGCGCTGGAGGATCTGGAGACCTGCGGGCAGTCGGGGATCCTGCGAGAGCTTGAGGTAGCCTCAGCCCTGCTCCTTACTTTGACTGTTTCTACATTCATTATTTTTGGTCCTTCTGAGTTGGCATTTGTCACGCCAGTGCATTTAAAAAGCTTTAACCCCTTTCCACAGGAGAAAGCTGACAGGCGTGTGTCTTTGAGAAACATGACTCTCTTGGTAGCTACCCTTTCTGTTTATATTTTTTGCTTGTGAAGCTGCCTCCCCTGCCCTCCTTGCCTTTCGGACAGCAATTTGATTTGATACAATGCCGTTAAAAATATGTTGATTTCCCCATTTTCACCCTCCCCCACCTGAGCTGACTGACTTGTGGCTTCTGCCATTGCTCCCTGCTAACCCTGACTGTCCCTGTTTGCCACCGAGTCGCTAAGGAGGCAGCTCCGCCTCCCAGCAAGGGGCGCATCTCATTCCCTGAGTCGCTTTAGAAAGGTTTCTTTGGCATGTTTTCATTTGTACCCGGTACAGAAATTAATTTGATCGTGAAGCGGAACATAAGAGGAAATTGTATTGTCTTCTCTTTTGTCCTTTCAAATAGATGGCGACGCAGCTGGTGCAAAAAGGCCAGTCTGTGGGTTAAGCAGCCAGAATGCCAGGCAGTGCTTTGCTGCTCATTGCAAATTCTGACCCCACATTAATTTAGTGTGCACGTGAGGAGTCCCGGCGAGATGGAGTGTCGTAGCTGAGCTCCTGCCGAAGTCCTTTAATCAAAGCCATGAATTTGCTGACGTATTCACGCTTCGGTCTGGAAAGTCGTGGGCTATTTCCTTTTATGTTCTTTTAAATTTCCTAAGCTGTAAAAAAAAAAAAATAAAGTGGCAAAAGTTTCATTTTTATTTTGATGTCATACGAGGTCCCCATAAGGAATGTGAATGGCAAAACCGGGTGGAACTCTTGCAGTTTTAAAATGATGACTCATCTTTCTATTATTTTGCTTCTCAGTTGCATGTGTGGATATTTTGTGTGAATCTGCAAAGAGAATTGTAAACAAAAATATTAATTTGAATTTATAAATACCATAGTATTACCTGGCATGAATTTCAGCTTCTGAGCATGGCTAAAGGATCTGGAGATGGATAATCTGTTAAAACTTGAATATATTAAAATAGTAGCAATTAATTGATTTTCATGCAACTCTCCAAAAGTGCAGAATGCTTAAGCATCAGCTGGCTTATTTAAACTTTACCACTTCCTAAAGGGGCCCGAACTGAGAGACGAGCTCAGTTCACAATTCCTGAACATGCTCCTGCTTTTGTAAGCATGTCTTTGCTCACGTCCTTTTACATTTGGATGCTTTTTTATAGAAGCAACTATCCTTCTAATATTCTATTATATCTGGTAAAATGCAAATGATGTAAAACACAGTATGTGTTTTTCACACCAAAACTGAATGATCTAATGAAAACAACAACCATCAGCATAAAAGTTACACTGCACCAGCCTGCCAGTCTCCTGTAATGTAGCTGCAGGCAGGTGTGGCTTTTGAAATTAGAAATCCAGAAGAGAAATGGGCTGAGTTTATCAGCCAAAGAGAAATTAAAGTCCTCAACTAGAAAGGATGATTGGCAAACCATAAGGAAGAGTCTTATTTACACTTTTATCACAAAAACACATTCATTTATTAGTTTAAATAAACTCTGATCCCTTATCCCTTAATTGCAAACCCTAATTATGCCAAAAAAAATATTATTTGAGCTAAATAGGTTCATGCATATGAAACTTATTTCCACTGCAAAAGTTAAAATGCTAACCGGTTTGGCTCAGTGAATAAAATGTCGACCTGTGGACTCAAGGGTCCCAGGTTCGATTCCGGTCAAGCGCATGTACCTTGTTTGAGGGCACATTCCCAGTAGGGGGTGTGCAGGAGGCAACTGATTGATGTTTCTCTCTCATCAATATTTCTAACTTGCTCTCCATCTCCCTTCTTTCTGTAAAAAAAACAATAAAATATATTTTAAAAAGTTAAAATGCACTATAACTGTAACAAATGAAGATTAACTAAGTTGAAGTGACTACAATTGAAATGAAAAGAAAAACTATACTAGTCATTTTCCCCATTGTTAGCAATAATTCAGGTTCACTTAAAAAATGTATAGTTTTAACAAAAGAGAAAAATTCTAACTAAGACTTTGGACAAGTTACTTAATATGTATTATCAGCTATATCTCTTTCTTTAAAATACAGGTTTATAATGAGAGAACACTTATATAGCACTTACTAAAGGTCCAGTAGAAATGAATTATTTTTGCCATTTGTTTGATTAATGAACACCTCTTTTACTTTTTGTCTAATACAGAAAGAAGGTTTAAAAGTCAGATAGAGAACTCTTGAACGTATCTCTTCTAAGTTGTTTGTACATACCAGCTATCTCACTGATAATGTAGAAAAGAGGAAATTGTCATTGTAAATTATGAGTTATGCAAAATGAAAAAGGTGATAAATAACTCTTGGAGCCCAAACAAATCCTAGAAAATGTAAAATATTTTTTTAACTTTTTATTGTAGTTCATGTGTTTGTGTTTTAATTGTTATTACTGACTCAATTGACGTTCATTTTAAACAAAGCATACCAAGCCATCAACTTGAACTAAAGACATTTTGAGAATGTGTCCTTTTTAGACCGGTTTGTAACTTCTGCATGACTAAGGCTTATCAAACCAAACTTATTTCCCAGTTGCAGTGATTAAGTATTTTATTTCCAACATGTTTTCTGTTGATCCCATGAAAAAAATGAATGTAAAAAATTAGATGTTAATAAAAGCAAATAACTAGTCTAAGTAGGCAAAAACAATAATGGGTAGGGGTCCCCACAGCCAGAGAGCTGTCCACTACAGTAGATTAAACAACAAAAAAATGATACATGTGAGTTAAGTGCCATAAAATAAAAGGATGTCCCAGGATACCCATGAAGCTGGTCACTAAAAAGTTTTATTTGGAAAGGAATATATCTGAAATAAACCAAAATATGGATAATTCATATTAGGGTTTAATCGACTAAAAAATTCAGTTTTTTATGTTTCAACCTAATATTTGGCTGAGAAGCTACACACCTTGGTTGTCAAGAATAAAATCTGGAGTCAGATTGCTAAAGTTGCAATCCGAGACAACCAAGTGGGCAAGTTGCTTAACCTATCCAGGGATCCCTTGCCTTAACTGAAATGGGAAGGTATAATAATTAAATGATATTCTAGATACACACACACGTATATAAGTGGTATTCAGCACATGTTAATGTTCAGTGACCAGAAAGGTTTTATTACATTTACTTTTTCAAAATTATGATTTAAAAACTGATGTATCATAGTTAGGATATTAGTAAGATTATTTTCTTATTTTCTTTTTAAAAAAATATATTTTATTGATTTTTTACAGAGAGGAAGAGAGAGGGATAGAGAGTTAGAAACATCAATGAGAGAGAATCATTGATCACCTGCCTCTTGCACACCCCCTACTGGGGATGGGCCCACAACCAAGGTACAAGCCCTTAACCGGAATCAAACCCGGCATCTTTCAGTCCTCAGGCTGATGCTCTATCCACTGAGCCAAACTGTTTCGGCTCTTATTTCCTTTTCAACAGAGATGTAGATATGTGCACAAGAGCACTAAAATTTGGCTGCCATGCAAAGATCTTGTTGGAGGTATATTTATAGTTGGACACCAGGTGAATCTGGAATTATAAAACCTTAGATAAAAATGAAAACTCTACCCACTTTGTAGCGTTTCCTCCTGATCTATAATTTTAGGTAGTGCCCTTGGCTCATTTACTACCTATGTTGCCTCGGGTAAGTCACCCTTTTTGGGCCTCAGTTTCCTCAACTATAACTTAGGAGGAATAATAGTGTTTCTTTCATAAAGTTGTTGTGAGGCTTCAATGGGTAAATACATTCAAAGGACTCAACAGGTTACACTTCTGTTGCTTTTGGCATCAGTGTTCCTATAAACCACTTCGTGGAGCTGCAGCCAGTGACACAGCATATGGAACCAGTTTTCTGTTCCCCGGATTTCCGGCAGATTCACCAATTTTACTTTACCTTCCTATAGCCATCGTTGGGAGGAACACGGGCATATTTTCAGAATTTCAGCATCCTCCCAGCGTGAGAAAGGGGCATCCCCAACACGATACTGGTTTCAAGGGCTCTTCTTGTTCCCCTCTGGGACTCAGTCATTTTGGGGAGCTAATCTTCCAGGCTTGCTATTCCTGGTGTATTCTGTAGAGAACGTATTTGAAACTGAAACTGGTAACATCCCAATTCACTGATAAAACCCAATCCAGGTGCCACAGCTTCTGCACAACGGCTGAATCCAAGTAGCGTAATAAATCATTCCTCTTTAACCTCTCAGGATCTTACACAAAGGCCGTGTCTAAGAAACACATGACGTGGAGACCTAGCTGATCTAGAAGCTTCTGGGCCAGTGGCCAAAGGAAAGACAATAGACAAGGGGCTTCAAGTAGAAGCTCTTGTTCTTGTACTCATAGCTGCATTTTAGCCATTGTTTTTCCCAGGTGGGACCAGAGGCAGCATTGCAAGTAGAGGCGGCCTGGTCTCCAATGAGAAGTTCTTAGCTCATTTCTGCAAGACACACTGAAGGTCGCCTCATGAATCCCATCCTTAGAGCCCACTCAGTGGAAAGTTAATGCTTAAAATGTAGTTTACAGTAAGCAAATGTTAGAGCTTTTCAATTTACCTCAGAACTGCCAGGGGTGGTATCTGATTAAATAAACCCAGCAGCTTAAGTACTTAAATTGGATTTGAGATGCGCATTACAAATGGCACTTACAAAGCATTTTTTTCCCAGACTTTCATACTTCGGTGACTTTATCCATCCTTCAGTCTTTGGTTATGCCCTGAAGACACTGTCTTTTGACTGGGCAGAGGCAGAAATGTGCTTAATGTTGAGCAACCAAACCCTTCCCTTCCTTCGTTCATGGCTTAATTGTTTCTGAAAATTGTCAATGCCGCAGGCAACAATCATGTCGGGGAGCACGATGAGTTTGAATCACGAGGCCCCAACACCTCGCAGTCAGCTGGGGCGACAGGCCAGCTTCCAGGAACGGAGCAGCCCGCGGCCACACTATAGCCAAACAACTCGGAGCAACACCCTGCCCTCGGAGGTGGGCAGGAAGTCCGTCCCCCTGAGGAAAATGAAACAAGATATAAAGGAGATCATGTCCCCAACTCCGGTGGAGCTGCACAAGGTCAGGAAGCTTTCTTCTCTTCCCTTGGGGTCACACTTAGTAGCCATTGTGCATAGCCTGACGCAAGCAGGATAATGACCTTGCACTTTGGTCTCAGCCAGGGAAGGAAGCCAGGGCTTAAAGGTAGATCGGCAGAGACTTTGCTTGTTTTTCCAACATTTCAAGCAATGAATTAATAAAAAATGTGTTTGTGGCCAAAATCTTCTCATGAAAGTTCAAGACTCCAGTGTCATGTGGAACTTTGATGATTGGTCTATTATTCCAGATTCACGGGGAAGGGCAGGAAGGATTTTCCTAAATGTATATGCTCCTAACTTGACTCAAAAGGGGCTTCCGGTGTAATGTAAGGGAAGGCTTAATCCTTAATTTCGGACTTATGGGTAGCTGGCTACATTACTTGAGGGACATGAAGTTTTCTTCAAGAGGATTTAGATGTCTAGGGTTTGGAAAGGGTAAGCCTGGTGATGTTCCCTCTCTGCTACGATAGTTGCCTCACTGTACTTCATGGAAGAAAACCCACAATGGCACACGGAGCTGAACTTGAGCGGCCGGCAGAGTTTAAGGCGTATGTGAGTGGCAGTGTTTATGGAACAGAGTAATCCAGGTGTCTCTGGTTTTCTTTTGAGGAACTAATGCTTTGTTTTTGTTAATACAGAAGGATACTTACACTCTCGCTCTGTTTTTCTTGAGAACCAAGACCCTCTCTGTACTCAATAATCTAGTAACTAGAGATTATTTTACCCAGAAGAGCAAATACATGTCAGATTAAAAGGTGACAGGTCAGCCACTCCTTTTTTGCTCTAAAGACATCAGTTTCCCTAACCACTTATTAAAAGTAGCTATTTCTTTTACAGCCGACAGAGCATATGGTGAAAGAAAGGGCCTTGTGGAAAGTTGGGTTCTGAACTTGGCGTTCCATTCACTTAAAGAATCTTGTTGCGAATCCCCAGCAAGCACATAGTCTAATGGGGAGACATTCTGGGAGACGGCGGGAAGACGATGGGATAGGGTCAATGATAGAAGCAAGACTGGGCTGCCTTCGAGGATAGAGGGGGACCCTTCCCACTACAGGGGAATAGGAAACCTTCCTAGGAGCAGGTATTGCCTCTGCAGGAAAGTGGAGCTTGGGGAAGTGAAGAGTGGGAAGCATTCTAAGTACAGAAAAGAGCATGTGCAAAGGATGTCAAGACTTTATGATGTGCTGAGGGGATGAGAATATCCCAACATATCACCTCAGCCTTGAATTGAAGCCTGTGCCTTATGAGGAACTGCAGAACTTTACAGAAAAGCAAAGGAATTTCTGACATTGTAGGGTAGCCCATACCACACATTAGGTTGCTTATCCAGTTACCCTGAAAGGATCTGTCTGTTTGGTGATCACCAGCCTTCACCCCTTCTTACATGTCCTAACACACTGAGGACAGCACCATTAGGAGGCTGAAGGCCTCACCGTCTTCAATTGCAGAAGCTGCACAGTCAGTGCTAATTCTGCTGTGTCAAGAAGAGGGCTGGCCCCTCCTAATTCCCTCCCCTCTTGCCCTCTTCTCTAAATCTCCGTGCCGAGGAGATTCTTCTGATTCACCCGCCGTCAGCACCGAGAGAAAGGACACCACCATGTATGGAGTGCCTACTGTGTGCTGCATGTCACCGGTGTATACCCCTCCCACTAGCCCTCCAGAGCATATATTTCCTGACCCCATCTATACAGGGAAATAGCGAGTACAAAATAGAGTCACTTCTCTTCTGCAGTGAAGCAACCTCCTCCCTGCAGAAGTATCAATAGCCCAGCCATTCCAAAGGCCGGTCTCCCCTCCCCTCCTACACTGGCTGCACTTAGCACAGATGTGATGGTGACTTTGATGTGCAGATGGTTACAGGTGAGGTTAAAACATGGCTGTGCTGAAAACAGATCCTGTTAAAAGTTTTTCATGCAATGCGTGGCCGTGTAGGACTGGCTGAAACTGCGACAGTTGTGGATCAGGAGGCCGTGCTGTCACAGACACAGGTGGGCCAGCTTAACCCAATCAATGCGCTTTGCTTCAGTGCATTTCCCTCATAGCTTCCCCTCCTTCTGAACTGACCTCAAAGTAAGACTGAAATATAGATGGTGGCTGGGCATCATATGACACCGAATATGAGCTGGTGAAGTGGTGGCACCTCCTGCCCGACTGTGCGGGATTCTGAGTGGTTTTTGCTCACACCTCAGGCCTCTCTTCTTTGCTAAGTAACTTCGGGTGCTCTGAGGGGCCTCCACGTCGTGGTTGTGAAACCTTTCGTGTTGAAGTGGTCGGGAGGGGAAACAGCCAGGAGAAGTCACTTCGCTCAGAGCCAAGACCTTTGCCTGGAGGTGCCTTTTGAACTCTGGACGATTGGCTGAGACCTTGGAAAAGCACAGTGATGCGTTGACAGACCTGAGTGATCCTTCATTGGGTACCACCAGCCTGCACCAAAACTCCATAAAAAGTACTCTCGTGTGATGGTGTAGAGAAGGGGCCAGGGAATTAGAAACATCCCACCCCCAAGATGGAGTACCCAGCCTGACACAGGGAGTGAGGGCTGGTTTTCCGTTCCCTGAGCCCCTTGGGTGCACTTGCTAAGTGAACCCAGAGGAGGAATTCCCCAGGAGCTGGGAAGAGCCGAGCGAGAGGCTGGGGACGTTTATATTCTTTCCGGGGGCACTTGGAAAGCTGTCCCCGTGAGAACAGTGTGGGCCGTTCCTGTCCAGGCCAGTGCCTACAGTCTCTTACTGTCGCTAGAAGCTGACCAGGAGGCGAGGGGCAAATGAGCAGGTTTCCACCCCCATTTCTGGAGAGGAGGACAAAGGGAAGAGCAGCCCGTCTCCTGGTGATGGAGGAGTAAGGTCTTCGTACAGCAGAGCAGAGCATGGGTTTGTCTTTCAGTTTGTTGAGTTTCATCGGACTCTCATTGTTTGCACCCACGTTCCTCCTAGTCTCCCTAGTCATTCCTTCTCTTCCTTAGACCTTCAGAAGTCCTGGGCGATTTTGTCCATTTCACATCATTTCCTGTGTCTCAGGCTCCACCAGGTCTTCCTTGAAGTTGTCCGGTTGTCCATCTTTCTCATGAGCCCAAATCGCTAGCCATCCTTCCTGACACTGGAGAACAAACAGAACTGAAGCCTCACTTCCCATGTGGGTGGGGAGGATGTTGAAGCTGGACTGATGGCTTAGTGCTTTGTTGGGGGGAGGCAGGGTATGGGTCCCTTGGAAGTGATACTCAGGTCCCCTTAGCCCTCTGCCTGTCAGACTGTCCTGGCTGAGTCACACAGTCTGAAATCATTTTATCTCACATGTCAGCACACACATATACCACATTCACATATGAATGAGTCCAAACTTTTACACTGACATCTTCTATTTCTTGTTTATTTTTTCTTAAATGTGATCGCAGGAAGCTGATTTTCAGGCTCCTTAATGGGTCACAACCAAAAGTTTGCGGGCTGTAGCCCTAGATAATTGTTTGGCGTGTGGCCCTCTGCTGACCTTTTCTGGATGACATGGGGTGCTTGTTCAAATGCAGGCTCCTAGTCTCCACCCAGACTTAGCATTTTCTGGAAGGTCAGGCCAATAATCTCCCCTTTAGCAACCTCATGAGTGGATTCTATTGTGCCCTAAAGATTGAGCATCATTCCCTTGGGTGTTGCTAACTCGGTGAAATCCCAGGCAGCAACTGGATGATGAGGTAAAGAGATGAGGTTGCATCTTTGGCCTGGAACTTCTGAGTTTTATCTTTAAAATGAATTCTGGTTTGTCCTGTAGCTTATCACAGATTCTTCCTCTTTGCAAGTAAGGCACCTGGGATCTTCGCTATAGTTTATTGATGACCCTTCTTTCCCTCCTGAAGCGTGAATAGCCTTTGGTGTCCACTTAATCCATTTCTGAGATGAAGTCCAGCTTCACTTCTTTGCACAGCTTAAGACCCAAAAAATTCCAGTAGAGTAGAAAGTTCCCCACACTCAGAGCATTTGGACTTTTTAAAATCATATTGACATTTCCTGTGCTCTGTCATGCATGTTTTTCAATGAAATTACATGTCTTATTTGTAAGCAACTACTTTTATTATTTCATTTTGCAGAAATATTTAGTTCCAGCATCTGCCTTTACTGGCAGCTTCTGGTGGCATTTGTGTCACTAGGATGTGGCTTATTTCTTGCGGCTGCGTTTGCTGCCATCAACTTGCCCAGCCAGTGCGCTGTGCACTGTCCACGTGTTTGAGAGTTTGGAGAAGGGACCTTGTTCTTCCTGAGAGTACAAGGTTTTACTCCTCAGAGGATGCCATTCTTGTCATTTCATGGCAGCTTCTTCCGCAGCCCACCCCCTGACAGGAGCCGGCTCAGCCCTGGGTGGGAATGTGAAATGGAAATTCATGCTATTTATCAGCCACAGGCCTCTTCCTCACCAAGTATCTGGAGTTGGTGCCCAGATCAAAGGAGCCCTCACACCAGGCCTTCTCAGATAGCTAGTGTAGCATCTTCTTACTGTGGAAGTCACGAAAAGCTAAAACTACAGACTGGGTGTCTGAGCCTTTTCTTTTGCCTGCCCCTATGCTAGACCAGCTTCTCCTCCTTCAGGTGAGGAGTGATGATTGAGGGAGGATCAGGGAAGCCGAGGCTCAGTCCCAGTCTGACAGTCCTCAGCTGCCTCACTTCCTAGATCCTCAGTTAGCAAAGGGACAGCTCATTATCGGGAGAAGAGTCTTCACAAACAGTATTTTCCCTGGGGGAGTTGCCATCCTTCAGATCTCGCCCAAAGCCATACACTGTTAGAACCCCAGAACGTGAGGTCTCCGCAGGATCTCAGACTTACAAGAGATCCAGCCAGTTGCCTCAGAGCCCCCCAACATCAGGATGTGGGCCAGAATGAGACCTGCTCCAAAGACAAATGGGGGGTGTCTAGTTACCCAACACCACATCAGCGTGAGCAGCACGTTCCCGCCCTATGAAACCAGGGCAGCAAAGTATCTGAATGTGTTGAGGAAACATG